TCCCAGCTTGTCCTGTCTCCTTCATCCCGGCATTGCCAGGGACTTTCTGGGACAAGGGAGCTCTGCTCTGGCTATGGAGGGAGGTGCAAGTGCCACCACTGGAGTGGGAACCACAACTCATCAGGTTTGTGTCCTTTGGGAGTCAGGAACTGGTGGGACTCAGAGGCACAGGAAGATTCTCTTAATGGCCAACAGACCATAGTTTACCAGGACACAATTTAATTACAATCTCACTCTTCCCTGAGCTATGTGCAATGTCCCAGCAGTGTCTGATGAGTTCAACATCCACAAGTTATTTCCATATTAGAATTAATTATAGACAAATGTGGTTCTGCGATAGATATAAACACAATTAAGTTCTTGTATCATGATGCTCATCCTGGAGTGGAAGCAAAAGAGCACAAACAATTTCTGATTTGCAAATGTGTCTGTGGTGGATGGAGAAGGGAGGTCAGGCTGCTCTTGGTGATGAGGAAATGCTGAAACCAGCCTGACTCATTTCATCTCCTCCTGTCCTGGCTGATTGCTCCTCTTTCCCCTTCCACCCATTGGTTTTTGTCTCTCACCAGGCCCCCTGGTGAAGAGCCTGGCTCTGTGTTCTCCATCCCCTCCTCGCTGGCACTGCCAGGCTGGGATGAGGAGCCCCTCAGCCTTCCCTGCTCTGGGCTGGACCAGCCCAGCTCACTCAGCCTCTGCTCACAGCCCAAGGGCTCCAGCCCCACTTTGGAGGCCCTTCCCAGACCCTGCTCCAGCTGCCAGACATCTTTCCTGCCCTGGGGAACCCAACCCAGGCCACAGTGACCTGGATAATCCCCGTCCTTGATGTCCTGGTCACACAGCCCTGGCCCCTTGTCCCCTGTCAGTCTCTGGGGTGGATCCTGTGGAACATCCTTTGGTGGAGGCTGTGGCTCCAGGTGGGCTGGGGGGATCCTGGGGGACAGGGACCCTGCTGGGCATGAACAGCATTGGACTTGTTGGGAGAAACTGTGAGGGGGAGCTGGGGCGGAGTGACCAACCCAGTGACCTGACAGAGCCCTGCTGGGATGTCACACAGCCCCTCTGGGATGTCACAGCCTGCTCTGTGATGTCAGACCTCTGCCCTGTGATGTCACAGCTGGCTCTGTGATGTCACAGAGGCAGTCTATGATGCCATATCTGCTCAATGACCTCACATGACCCACTCTGTGATATCACAGACCACTCTGTGACCTCATGTTACCAGATGAGAAATTGTCTCCACCAGGTGACCTGACACCTGGAGCTTGTTCTCCAAAACCCCAGGCCTATGGAAACCACACAATGCCCATTGTGTGAGAAGGGGAACTGGAAGTTCAGCAACCTCAGTGTCCTGCCAGCTCAGCCAGGCCCATGGGAACATTGGGGTCCACGAGCACCATGGACCACCAGAGAGACCCCCAGGACAGAAGAACACATGGGTAATGGGGAGAGGAAATGTGGTAATGATTTTGGGGAAATGATTATCATATGTGTGTCTAGTCCAAGGCAATCAATGAATTTGTGTGCAAAATACAGAATATAAACAGAAACTTTCCTGTACTCAGCATGCACGGCTTTGAGAGGAGCTATTCCCTGTGCATCCCACTGAATAAAGAATGGTGTTTCTAAATGCTACACTAGGGTTAAGGACTTTTCTGTTTTACAGAATTTTTAGTAAGATTCCCACTGCCAAGGAAAGCTCTGTCTCCTGCTGTTCACAAACAAAGAAGGTCTGGTGGCAGATGTGGTGATTGGAGGCTGCCTGGGGCACAGTGACCATGAAATAATCAAGTTTTCGATGTTCTGTGAAAGAAGGAGGGGCAGCAACAAAACTTCTACACTGGAATTAGGAAGGGCAGACTTTGGCTTATTTAGAATGCTGATTTGGGGAGTACCAAATCAGGTACTGATTCTTTAAAGGGAAACAGCCCTTAAAAACAAAGGAGTCCAGGGAGGATGGACACGCTTCAAGAAAGTAATCTTAAGGGGATGCAGCATCCTCTGCCAGTGTGGCAAAATATGAGCTAGTTAGGAAAATTACTGTCCTGGCTGCCCATGGAGCATTTGTGGGAACTCAGGGGTAAAAAGAGGGTGCATCACTTTTGAAAAGTGGAACAGGGAACTCAGAAAGTGTTTAAGAATGTTGTTAAGTTACGCAAAAAGAAAAGCAAAGAGGTGAAAGCTCAACTAGAGCTTAACCTGGCCACTTCTGTGAAAAATAATAGGAAATGTTTCTATAAATAAAATTATAGCAAAACACCAGACAAACAGAACCTCTACTATTTATTGGATGCAGTAGGAAATACAGTAACTAGAGATAAAGACAAGGCTAAGCTACTTAACACCTTGTTTGTCTCAATTTTCAATATTAGGAAAGGCTGTCCTCAGGACAATTGTTCTCCTTAGCTGGTAGATGGGCACAGGGACCAGAACAGGCCCCCTGGAATCCAGGAGGAAGCAGCTGGTGACCTGCTGAGCCACTCAGATGCTCACAGGTGTATGGGATCAGATGAGATCCATCCCAGGGGGATGAGGGAGCTGTGGATGAGCTCCCCAAGCTGCTCTCCATCATTTACCATCAGTCCTGGCTCAGCAGGGAGGTCCCAGAGGACTGGAGGTGCCAATGTGAGCCCATCCCCAAGAAGGGCTGGAAGGAGGAGCTGGGGAACTCCAGACCTGTCAGCCTGACCTGGGTGCCCGGCAAGGTTATGGAACAGACCACCTTGAGTGCCATCACAGGGCACCCACAGGATGGCCGGGGGATCAGAGCCAGCCAGCGTGGATTTAGGGGTGGCAGGTCCTGCCTGACCAACCTGGTCTCCTTTTATGACCAGGTGACCCGCCCGTGGATGCAGGAAAGTCTGTGGATGTTGTGTGCCTGGATTTCAGCAAAGCCTTTGACACTGTCTCTGACAGCATTCCCTGGAGAAGCTGCAGCCCAAAGCTTGGGCAGGTTCCCTCCTCGCTGGGAGATTTAAGAGCTGGCTGGAGGCTGGGCCCAGAGAGTGGTGGGGATGGTGCTGCACCCAGCTGGTTTCCAGGCACTGGTGGTGTCCCCCAGGGGTCTGTGCTGTGCCCAGTCCTGTTTAATATCTTCACTGATGATCTGGCTGAGGGGATCGAGTCCAGCATTCACAAATTGCAGATGGCACCAAGCTGGGTGTGAGTGTGGATCTGCTGGAGGGCAGGACAAGAAGACACAGCCTTTAGCTGCACCAAGGGAGGTTCAGGCTGGACAATAGGAAGAAGTTCTTCACAGAAAGGATGAGTGGGCATTAGAATGGGCTGGCCAGGGGGGAGGTAGCAGAGTCCCTGTCCCTCTCCAGAGGCACTTAGTGGCATGGTCTGGGTGACAAGGCAGTATTAGGGCATTGGTTGGACTTGATGATCCCAAAGGTCTTTTCCAGCCTATTTGATTCTGTCGTTCTGTGATGATTGGGACACTCTGGGGCCATTGTGACACTGCAGGGCCTCATGAAACTAAGAGGACCATGGTGACACTGTGCAGCCCCACAGAACCAAGGGTCCATTGTTGTACTCTGGGGCCAAATGGAACCAGGGAGTGCACCATGACACTCTGGGTCCTCGTGGAACCACAGAGGCCATTGTGACACTGCAGGGCCTTGTGTAACCAAGGGGTTTCACCATTTTGACACTGCAAAACCAAGGAGACCATTGGGAGACTCCAGGGTGCAGTGGAACCAAGGGGCCATTCTGACACTGCGGGACGTCATGGAACCAAGGGGACATTGTGACACTGCAGGATCCTGTGTAACCAAGGGGCCACTGTGACAGGATGGGGCCTCAAGGAATCTGGAAGAACGTTGTGACACTGTATGGCCTTGTGGAAACAAGGAGTCCATTGTGACACTGAGGAGACTTGTGGAATCACAGAGACCATGGTGACAGTGTGGGACCTCATGTAACCATGGGACCATTGTGACACTCTGGGGCTAAGTGGAACCAAGGAGACCATTGTCATATTTTGGGGCCCCATGGAACCAAGGAGACCATTGTTGCTCGGCATGGTCTACTGGAACCAAAGAGATCAGTGTGACAGTGCAGGGCTTGGTGTAACCAAGAGGCCATTGTGACACTGAGGGGCGCCATGGAACCAAGGACATCTTTGCAGATGATACCAAGCTGGATGTGAGTGTTGATCTGTGGGAGCATAGGAGGGCTCTGCACACGGACCTGGACAGGCTGGATCCAGGGGAAAGAATCCAACAAGTTGCAGCTTAAGAAGACCAAGTGCCAGGCCCTGATATTTGGCCCTGGTGCTACAGGCTGGGGACAGAGTGGTTGGACAGCAGCCAGGCAGAAAGGGACCTGCAGGGACTGATGGACAGCAGGCTGGACATGAGCCAGCAGGGTGCCCAGGTGGGCAAGAAGGCCAATGGCTCCTGGCCTGGATCAGGAATGGTGTGGCCAGCAGGACCAGAGCTGCTGTGCCAGCACAGATCTGCCCCCAGCTATGCACACAGACATTGCTGCTGCAGCTCCAGAGAAGGGAACACAAGGGTATATCTGGAAAAAAACTTTGCTGCGAGATCCTTTAGTTCCATTAAAACCACCAAGAGTGCAGCCCCTCGTTGACACAATCTCTGGCCACAGGGAAGATGGAGAGAAACAAAATGAGAAAAACTGCAAACCATGACATTTCTTTGTGGAAAAGATTAGTAAGGTAAAACAAAGAAAAAGAACCTCCAAAATGAAGCCAACAAGAAGTATCAAAGATGACTTTTATTACAAGAGATTTGCAGAATTTGGCCAGCAGTTTAATGTCCCTGAAACCATCCAGTCATCAGTTTCCACACTGCAGCCTTGAGCTCCTGGTTCCTCAGGCTGTAGATGAGGGGGTTCAGGGTTGGAGGCACCACTGAGTACAGAACTGACACTGATAGATCCAGGGATGGGGAGGACATGGAGCGGGGCTTCAGGTCAGAAAATGTGGCAGTGCTAAGGAACAGAGAGAGCACGCCCAGGTGAGGGAGGCAGGTGGAAAAGGCTTTGTGCCGTCCCTGTACAGAGGGGATCCTCAGCACGGCCCTGAAGATCTGCACATAGGAGAAAACAATGAACACAAAACAACCAAAGCCCAAACAGAAGGAAAATGCAAGAAGCTCAAGTTCCCTGAGGTACAAATTTGAGCAGGAGAGCTTGAGGATCTGTGGGATTTCACAGAAGAACTGGCCCAGGACATGGCCATGGCACAGGGGCAGGGAAAATGTATTGGCTGTGTGGATGAGAGCATTGAGAAAGCCACTGGCCCAGGCAGCTGCTGCCATGTGGGCACAAGCTTGGCTGCCCAGGAGGGTCCCATAGTGCAGGGGTTTGCAGATGGACACGTAGCGGTCATAGCACATGATGGTCAGAAGGAAAAACTCTGCTGAAATGAAGAAGAGAAAGAAAAAGAGCTGTGCAGCACATCCTGTGTAGGAGATGTTCCTGGTGTCCCAGAGGGAATTGTGCATGGCTTTGGGGACAGTGGTGCAGATGGAGCCCAGGTCGCTGAGGGCCAGGCTGAGCAGGAAGAAGAACATGGGCGTGTGCAGGTGGTGGCTGCAGGCTACGGCGCTGATGATGAGGCCGTTGCCCAGGAGGGCAGCCAGGGAGATGCCCAGCAAGAGGCAGAAGTGCAGGAGCTGCAGCTGCCGCGTGTCTGCCAATGCCAGCAGGAGGAAGTGCCTGATGGAGCTGCTGTTGGACATTTGCTGGGGCTGGGCATGGGGACCTGTTCATGGAGAAAGGACAGTGACAAGTCACGAGAGGCTGCTTGGAGCCAAACCTGATCCATTACCTGCAGACTGTCACACTGGGACTCACTCACCCTTGTTCCTGCTCTGGTAAATCCTTCACCTCGGTCCCTTCCTGAGCTCCAGTTGTGCTGGCTGAGTGTGCCAGGAGCAGCCAGGCTTGTGCCTGGAGGCTCTCAAGGAGCCATCCCTGCCCTGCTCCCCTGGGTTTGTGGCCCTGTGGCAGAGGGACAAGGCTGGATATTCAGGATTTGTCAAGGAAATCACTCTGAATGCAGAAAGGCTTGGTAGCATCTACACTCCCAGTTCTATAAGACATGGATGGCAGGAGTTGTTTTTAGGAATTTTATTCCTCCCCACACATCGTTCCTTGCTCTCTGAGGTCAGAAATCCCCAACATTTCGGCTGCACTCAGAGTTTGCCACTGAGAGATGGGAGAGCCAAAGGATTCCCTGTGGCTCAGGGAAGATGAGGGGCTGGATGGGCTTGTTCCCAACTGCCCTGGCTTTGCACCTTAGGCTGCAATCAGAGCACAATCACACTCCTGGGTCACCCTGGGATAAACCAGACCCTGCCCAGAGCAGAGGGATCCCTGAATGTCTCACCCTCTCTCAAGGTCTCTGGGCAAGTTCTCAGCACCCCCTTGTGCCAAGGACACTCACGGCTCCCTTGGCAAACCGAGCAGCATTTCCTCAGCTCTGGCAGCTCTGCCCTTCCCCATGGGACATTCAGGGAACTCCCAGAGGCTCTGGCACAGATTTGCACCCAGGAGGGCAGCTCAGAGCTTGGAAGGGCACAGCAAGGAGATCCCCAGCTGTGCCCATGATGGGATCTCAGGGAGGGGGCTCAGCTCATTCCCCTTTCCCATGGACTGCTTTGCCCACAGCCCCACAGGTGCCAGGGAAGCTTGGACACCCCATTCCCATGGAAAGCCCTGCCTGGCTGGAATGCCAAGGGCAGTGCCTGACTCAGCTGCTGCAAATGCCAGAGCCTCCCTGAGAGCAGCAGATAGCAGTGACAATATCAGGGCAGGGCAGAACCACAAGAAGATGTTGTGGTGCTGTGCCTGAGAGAGCAGGGCAGAGACAGCCGGGCACTCAGGACAGTTTTCCCGTGCCCAGCTGTGCCCGGCACCTCCCACACACCAACAGTGCCCTCCTGCCCCCAGCACTGCTCTCTTCAGCACCCTCTCCTTCCCTGAGCATGTCCCTGGGCCTGGACATTCCCTCCTGAGAGGAGCCTTGTCCCTGCCAGCATTCACAGAGCCCATCCCAGCCTGTGTGCTCTGGCTGGGGCCCTACAGAAACCTGCCTGTGTGCAGGGCCCTGGCTGGGGCAGGCTCTGTGTGCAGCTGGGCAAGGGCAGCTCAGGAGAGCCCTGCTGGGCCCTGCAGAGGTGATGCTGCTGCTGTCCAGGGCTGAGGAGTTGCTGAGGGCCCTTTGGGAGGCTCCCAGCAGAGAGACTGACCACCCAAAGTTACAATTCTGGAGTCTCTGTAAATGTTCAAACATTCCTTGGATGATCCTGTGTGTCCCTTTCAACTCAGAATGTTCTGTGATTCTGGGATTACAATTCCTGTTCTGCTTCTCTCACCCCCCTGTTGTCTGTAATCCAAAGACAAAAAAAAAACACCCTTGCAACAATGTTAGAACAGTAAACTAAAAACCACACACAGTAAAGTAAAAACCACACATGAATTGGAAACTTCCAGTTGTCCCAGTGGGGATGTAGCACATCCTGGCCCCTGATTTCAGCAATTTATTAAGGTTGATTAATTAGGATATTTAACAGGAACATCCAATAGCAGATTCAGTTGCCCTGGTTACATATCCCTGGGTCAACCCAGTGGAGTAGGTCCAAAGGCTTCTTTGCCTTCCCTTTTTATTATGACTGCTCATATTCTGGTGAGAAACCAGAATGTTCTTCTTGTAGATCCTATTCCTGATAATAAGACTATACAGTGTTTCCGGAATGTATTTAGACAGTCAGCTTATTGTTCTAAAATCTAAGAGAAAGGTTGACAAACATACTAGATTTAATTAAAGATTATAGTTATAGAAGAATTAAAGGTTATAGTTCTAGAATTATATAATAGTAATTTGACCTAATTAAGAGTTTAATAGATTTAGGGAAATATTATATTTTTATAACTATATAATAGTAATTTGCAGAGCTACAAAGAGATGAAAAATGTATAAAAACAAAAATCTTTATGTCATCACCCTAACCTTCCCACTCTACTCGAAGCCGGAAATTGAAAACACTCTCATGAAAGCTCCTGATCTTTCCAGCAATCCCATGCTTACCTTCTTTGGGAAGTGTCCTCCGGAGCTGTGCCCAGGCTGGTCTGGAGCTGGGAGCAGCCCTGCCCCACCCAGCCCCTCTCAGCAGCAGCCCCTGCCCTGCTCAGTGTGGCTCCTTCCCCCCACAGCTTCTCTCCAGCACTGGGAGCAGCTGCCAGGGCTGGCTCAGAGCTGTCCCTGGCAGGCAGCAGAGTCCCTGCCCCAACACAGCGCCCTGGGCTGCAGGACCCTGCTCTGCAGGACAGCCCTGGGCACCCCTGGCTGCAGCCCCAGCTGCTCAGCCCTGCAGCAGAGCCTGGCAACAGGAGCTGCCTTGGGCTGTGCCTGGGCTGGGGCAGCAGGGAAAGCCAGCCCTGCCCTAGGGCCACAGCCCTGCCCTGCAGAAGCTCTGAGAGTCCTCCTGAACGGTCCTAAAAGCTGTGGGATGTGCCAGCTCCAGGAGATCCCTGCAGGAACTGCAGCTTCTCTTCCCACAGCCAGGGAATGACTGTTTCAAACCTGCGATGATTTCTGCTCTAGTTAGCCCTGAGGTAGCTCTGCTCTGTGCTCCCATCCCAGACTGAGTTTAACCCCTCTGTGCCCCTGTGCTGTGCCCAGGGTGGCTGCAGGCAGTGCCCCAGCCCTGCTGGGCTGTGCACAGGAGCTGCTCCTGGGCAGAGCTGTCTCTCTACAGCACTGCCCTTGCCAGGATCTGCCTCTTTGCCAGGAGCCTCTCTGCAGGTTTTTCAAAGGACTTTGATTTGGCTTTTAACTTGGAGTCTCTGGGAGGTTTGTGCAATCATGGCCTCCAATCATCTGCTGTAATTAGTCCCTGGAGAGGCTTTGTCAGTAACAACACTCATTGGGGCTCAGTAATACTTCAGGGTACTTTAGTTTTTTTAAGGTATTTGGTGTTTCCCTTTTGATACAGGCTCTGTGAGAGCTTTGTACAATCATGGCCCCAATTTACTGCTTTAACGAGTCCCCTGAGAGCTTTGTACTGACACCCAGTAGTGCTCATTAATACTTTGAGATACTCAAGGTTTTTAAGGTACTTTGGATTTTCCTTTCTACACTGAGTCTCTGAGAGGATTTCATGCCATCCTGGCCTCCAATACTCTCCTCCAAGGAGTCCATGAGGAGCCTGTGTTGGGGATGGACCTCAGAGGGACGCATTCATGCCTCAAGACATTTTGGGGTTTTTGTCCACCTTTGACTCCTGGAAAGGTTTGTGCAATCTCCTCTCAGGCCCTGAGGTTTCAGGGCTCAGCTCCAAATGCACCATGTGCCTCATTATGATCAAGTACATCCTGACAAACCATGGTTTTGCGTTGATTTCCTTCTACTGTAGTGCAGTTCACTAGGAAGTTCTTTTTCTATTGTTATGGAGAAGTATTTCAAATAGCTTCCAATAAGTCCATATTCCTGTTTTAAGGGTGTATGGTTCTCTTTAGAGAAGGAATGATAGCAGCATTCTGTGACTGATAGACCCAGGGGCTTTCCTAAGGAGGTCTGGCCTGCTCTGAGAAGCTGTGTCCTGAGATCTGACCCAGTGTGGACAGCCTTGCTCCACATTTCCAAACCCCATCCTGTCTCTCCTCACTTACCTGGGGTCAGCTTATCCTTGAGAACTTGCTGCACTCAGGCAAAGTGGGGTTTTTCTTCTTTTATTTTAGTAATCTAAAACTCCTAAGCTCCCTGTTGAAAACAGACATCCTCCTCAAGTGTGTGCCAAGCCCAAGCTGCCACCAAGACCGGTCCAGACCTGCCCTGGGCCAGCTGTGAGGATGTGTGGAGGCCCAGAGCCCTGCCATCAGAGTCTCAATCCCCTAGACATAGAGGACCTGTTCCAGATAAGAGGAATAGGCTTTCAGGTTAGGGTGAGACGCTTTCTTCTCCCATAGATCTTTGCAGGCACATGATTTATGGAATGGTATGTTACCCCATTGGCCCATTGGCCTAATTATCCTAGTTCAACACCTATTGCCCACGTTTGTTTAGCCCTAGAATGTTCTTCTCTCTCTGTCCCTCCATTGGCCCTAGTTTGCTGCATTCCTCCACTTTTGTTTCCTTATTGGCTGACCTGAGATCTGACCCCTCCTCTGCACCATTTTCCCCCATACCCATTGGACCCTGACCCTCAGCTCCACCCTCACTACCCCATAGAAGACTTTGTTCCCTCAGCCTACACCCTGTCTTCATCCGTGAACCCTGTTCAGCTGTGTACCCTGTTCCTGTACCAATAAACCCAGTTTGCAGGAGATCATATGAAAACCCATCCTGCCTGTTCTGTCAGCTTTCTAAGGTAGCAGTGAGCTTTGGGCTCATGAGTGCTGGATGCTACAAGGGCCTCAGTAGAGCAATGATGCTGCACATGGCGCCCGAACAGTGACCTGATTCATTAAGGTCCCCAGTAGCATCTCCAGCAGTGATCCTGCCAGCCAGATGTCACTGGAAGCTGTATCCCTTCAGGTCAGCCACAACACTGACATGAGACTTGAGTTTTATTGAATCTCACTGAAGAAGAAGTTGACAATCCCCTCAACATCGATGGGACCAGCTTTGCTGGCAGCCCCACAAGCCCCACTTTGGCTGAAGATTGTGCCTGTGAGACTGAGAGTGAGTGACTGAGTTGCAGAGAGCTCCCAGAGGTTTGGTCTTTTGATTTTCCGTTCCTGTGGATGGGCATTTCCTCTTTCATTGGGTGCAGCTATGGGAAATAATCAGTTCCAAGCTGCAAAGGATGTTTTTAAGTTTTGGAGAGTTTTAAATTTAGAGGGGAGTTCATTTTCTGAGGGGAGTTTAAAAGGTATTGTTTATGGTTATTTGAGGAGTTTCCTGATATATCTCTGTTGATTCTATCTTTCAGTTACTGTTTTGGGATGCTGTTGGGAAAAAGCTTTATATTTTACAAACACAAGGGGTTTTAAAAGTTGGGAAATTGTATCTGTTGTTTCATTCAAATTATGGGATCATGTAACGAGTTCATGGTTCCAACCCATTATCCTGGTTTATTCAATCCTCCCTCCACATTCCCAAACCCATGTTCCCTGAGAACAGGACAGGAGATGGAGCCCGCCCTTTGGCACAGACAAGCCATCTGCTACCTGTCATCTCCCCTCCTTTTGTGTCCTCTCCTCAGGGTGGTAGTGGCTATGCTGCCCTGAGATATTCCCTCACCCACATTCCTTCATCTCCTGATCCTAATCCCCCTTCCTATAAATCACAAGATGGCAATGCTCCTGTTAGAGAGACCGCCATTTTAGATTCCCTTCAGCCTTCATCCCCATTTCCCGCCTTTGCTCCACATACCTCCCCTGTGACAGGCCCCACCTTTATGTTGAGTTCCGACCCTGGAACTGGACATGAGGCCAACTGGAAGGAAGCCATTTTGGCTATCAAAGGCCTTCAACACGGTGTGTTGCCAGTTGGCTGAATGCCCTGCGCCCCTCCCAGCAGACCTGCTTCCTCTGCAGAGGAAGAGAGCGATAGCTTATCCAAGAGTGAGGATGAGCCCAAGGATTCTTGGCAGAGGATGCGGAGAAAAGATGCAAAGGAGGGGGACTGGGAGGTGGTATCCAAGATTCAGGTGGCACCTGTGCAGTATAAGCAGGGGCCAAAACCTAAATCTATTCCCTATGGATTCCCATTTAGGTTTTGACCCCTGCTTATACTGCACAGGTGCCATCTGAATCTTGGATTCTCTACCTCCATAGGGAAATTAAGGACTTAGTTAAGGCTGCAAAGGACTATGGGAGGAGTTCTCCCTATTTTAAGAATTTGCTGGATGCGCCATTTACTGCCCACACGATGGTACCATAAAATTTAATAGAGTATATAAAAATTTTATTGTCACCTGCTGAGTTTATTTTGTGGAAACAACTTTGGATAAATAAATTTAATGAATTACCAAAAGGTTTATGTTGAGGAAGAACGGTGACAACACCTCACAACGGACTGCATTACCAGGGAAGGAGACTATACTAGACTGCAGTATCAGGCTGAAGTCCTCCCCTGGTCAATACTGGAAGATCTCAAAGGTGCTGCATGGTCTACCCTCCTCCACCTGACACTTCTACATCCCACATGGACTTCACTGACATTTGCCAGGGCCTGGATGAGAGCTATATCAAGTTTGTCGATCGCCTTATTAAAGTCCTGGAAAAACAGGTAGACGATCAAAAGGTCCAGGATGATCTTATTAGCAAATTAGCTTTCTGTAATGCCAGTATTGACTGCAGAAAGGTTCTGGACACCCACCACCTTGTCCATGAGCCGACCATCGCTCAGATGGTTGATGCTTGCATTTGCCAAGCGGTCTCAGACCGTGACTCCAGCCTAGCCAAGGCCACAGGCCAAGGTGCAATTCCCCACAATACAAAATGTAATAAAGGCAGTGGAAACTGTTATAACTGTGAGAAAACTGGACATATAGCAAAAGACTGTAAATACAAGACTAACAACCGTTCTCATTTTTCACCCAGCCCTCAGTCCCAGAGCCATTGCCCAAACTGTTCCTGAAGCCAACAGCACTACCAGACCTCGGGAAACTCCTAGCAGAGCTCAAAATTACCTCAAATATGAAGTTATTCCATCCCACCCTTCCATCAGTGATAGATGTCCTAGATTACAATGTAAAGATGTATTCTATTCCAATCCTCAAGAGCTGTTGAAAGCAGGAAGGGTATTGTTTTTCCCTTATCTCCTGTAAATGGGCTGATCAATGCCTTGCCACGTGACTCAGAGATAACTCCCTCTGGGAGCCATTTCTGCACCCACCCCATGACTTATAGAATGATTTTAGCTCTATGTGAGATGCTCTGCCCAGTGGGGAGGAGTTAAGCATCCTCAGCTGGATATAATCTGGGGTTTGGGACAGCACAAGCTGCCTTTCCACTGGATTTCCCAGGGAACAGCTGCCATTTCCATTGGATCTTCAGAGGAAGACTACACCCTACTACAGGATCACTGCTCCAACATAACCACATCTGCCACTCCAGGAGGACTGCAGCCACCATTCCAACTGGACTGCTAACAACACCCTGACCAACAGGGTGTCAAGTTGTATTCTGACTTTGTCAAT